GTAAGGACGCGCTTGTGTTTGCATAGCAGCTGATGCATGGGTAGGAATTGCTTGAGGAACTTCAGAAGTCAGAGGAACAGTCTGTTGAGTAGTTTGCACTATAAATGGCGGTGGTACAAAACCAAAGGGAGAACCATAAGGAGGTACACTAGTGGTAGTAGTTGCTACAGGTGGAGGATCCACTATTGTGTTGACGATCTCTGAAACCATAGTGGTCTGAGTGTCCATCTTTGCACGTATAACCTACAACATTCCATAATCTGTCCTAAGTTCCCACGTAGGTCTTTTAGTTCATCACTAACTCATTCAATCTCCACATTTTGCTCTGCCATCCTTCTGTGAGCTTGAACTCTAGTGTGGTGAGGGTGTAGAGGATTTGGTATGAACAACCAAGTGAAACTTGTGCAGAAGAGACTTCAAACCTTTTCTTTAGCTCTTGGGACCTTGCTTAAGGTTGTCTATCCTGGTTAATGAAATAATTTTCTGAGTCAACTACTAGAAATAAGATGTTTGCAATTAAATCTCTAAGTTCCTTGAAGACTTATTTTTGAAAGGGAATGCTTATGGATGCAGTAATGTATGAATGAATGTATGCATAAACATATATATACAGATATTCACATATTCATACATATATACAAGCAACAAAAAAGGGCCTAGGTTTGAAGATCACGAGCGTGGAGCCATGGTCTACCCATCCCAAAAGGTGTGTACTAAGGGTTCTTGTATTTGTAGAACAAGGGTTCTAAGAGGTTCCTAAAGTCATCGATCCATCTTTCGAATATTATCGACACACAAACTACTTGGAAATCAATAATATTCTCAAGAGAGTCTCGCCTGAGTGTAGTATCGCGTATCAACTACTTCGAGTATACACCCTCATAGTCACCGCATTACATCCTAAAAAGGCCAAAGTGAGGCAATGAGGTAACTATAGGTCCTCAGTCTCATGGGCTCCTAGGTCAAAAATAGTAATGCATTCACGACTACTCGTTCAACACTACTAATCCCAAGAGGGCCTCAACTGAGCGGGGGATCTTAAGTCGACTTCTTCGGGAGTACTCCCTCAAAGTCTCCTTGACTATACCCACCATCCTATCATAAGTTTACTCAAGTTCGAGTTAGGACTTATCCTCACGACTCAAGGTCACAACCCTGCACACAGAAAAACTCAGGCACAACAGATGTATATACAGATATTTACAAATATACAAGTATAAAAGCAAGCAAACATATAAAATAGCACAAATACAAATAAGGTGGGCTTAACCCTCTTAGGGAAGTTTGGTCCCCAGTGAAGTCGTCATTTCTGTTACAGTGAGAATCAGATATCAAGCTATTGATTAACTTGAATCATGAATCTTGAAGTTCACCACCGGGCTTTGATTTATCCAAAGAAAAGGGTAAAGATCGAAGAAAAACCTAAGTGCGCTATGTAACAATAAAGCTAAGAGAATCTAAGGTTCGGGGGTTGGTTATATCTAGGGAAGGTGTTAGCATCATAAGCATCTGTAGTACTCTACAGGAACCTCTTGTTAGTATCTGTGTTATGCTAAATTTTTCTTGCTAAGAAAAAGGTGTTAAGGTAAAGACCTAGGGGTTTATATCTAAGTATGCTCGCCAAGACATCGCATCTCGTGCCTACGTATCCTAACTAGGATAAAATCAGAGCATTTGTAGTTCACCTCACTAAGAGTGAGGAACTCTTGAATTTTGTCAAGGTTCTAATGGGGATGTAAGTGTCTATGGCAAGACACCTGCATAGAGTTAAGAAACTCTAAACCTAAGGCTAGGTTAAAAGGGAAGGTTGTGACTCTAATAAGATCTTAAAAAGGATGTAAGTGTCCATGGCAGGACACTTACATAGAGTGCGGCGACTCTAATTCTAAAGCTAAGATAAAAGGGGAGGTAAGTATCCATGGCAGGACACTTACATAGAGTGTGGCGACTATAATCCTAAGGCTAAGATAAAAGGAAGGCAGAAGCAAGTTAGGTTAAGCTATCCTAAATATGACATGACAGTCAACAGGGAATCCTTTCCTTTGGAATTTGGCACAGTAAACAACATCAGTGGAATACAGAGAAAAGTCTTAAATGTCAAAGGTAAAATCGCAGTCCACCAATTGAAGGCTTTCTTTTTTTAGGGTTTTTGTTGTTTATGATGTTTTTTGTATTATATTATTTTTTATGAAACAAGAGACAACAAAATGTTAGCTGACAAAGTGATAAAGCAATAGCATATAATGATGATCAAGAGTAAATAAAGATTTTTTTTTTGAGTTTTATCATTTAATTGGAAGCGCAAAAATTAATTAATATAAGTAATTCTAATAAATTAATTCATGAAAATAATTAGGAAAATATTTTTTGAAATTTTTATTTTATTGAAAGCAAAATAAAACTAAACTTATTCTAGAAAAATTCTAAATTGAAATCAAATTCAAATAGAAGAAGAAAAAAGAACAACAACATTAACCACATATCCAAAGGCTAGGGGTGGGTTCTGCGTGCTAAGAATATTTAGATGGGCCTAAGCCCAGGATACTATTAGCAGTTTAGTATTTGCAACAAAACAGATCAGAAAAACTCACGATAAAGAGAAATGCTCACTCTTCTGTTTCTGCTTCAAAGAAAAAAGGATCATCTGTTTCCCACCTATATTCGTCCGACCTCGATCAAACGAAATTTCCTTCTTCAAAATTTCAAACGTGACCCTTCTTCCTCAACAACGATCCTTCTAGAGAGAATCGTTCAAAATCACACGGCAGAGGATTCCTCTCTCGTAGATACTTTGTTCTTCCTGTTTCGGTTGCGATTTTGGGTTTTAGCAGAAACGGCGGATGAAGGTGGAAGCAAGGAAGGATAAGTTCGTGGGTTAGCTTAGATGGATTCGTCTGAACTGGTGAGTCCGTACGCAGGGTGTAGAGGTTTGTAGCAGGATTTGGGCAAGGCGTGGTGTATTGTGGAGCGTAGTAGTATTGTACAGGTCTTATTTTGTTGCAACTACAAAAGGACGACGCAGGGTGTGCATGATCTACACTTTTTCATTTTTATTCTGTAGCATTGTGTCAACTTGGTTGTTGGTCCTATGAAATGTCTTGGTGGATGATGTTGGTTGTGCAGATTTTGCAAGTCCCAATTTGGTGTAAGTCTTGGATCGCATGGTTTGGACAAGTCTTGTTTGTGTTGAAGTTTTGGGAGTTTTGCAGCAGTGTATTGAATCAAAGCTTTGTAGAATTTTTATTTTTCATTGTTTTTATATTTTTTGCTCAATGCGCTTTTACTGAATATAAGTAGTAATGGGCTTTGGTTGCAATAATTTTTTCTGTGACAAGAAAATGTGATTGATGGACTTTCATTATCTTTTTTGGTAGAATTTTGTAGAACTTTTGTAAAAATGAATCTGAGCTTGTAATTGGAATTGGACTTTGTGGATTTTTAAAATTGATACTGAAATGGAATGGTTAGAAATGGATAATTGCTCATAAAAAAATGGTTAAGAATAAAAAAGGGATAATTGATTTTCAAAATGGATATGTGTCTAAACATGAATTTAAAATGGTTAAGTGGATTAAAAATGAAATTGGATTGGATTAATGAAAATAATATGGACATTGAATGGATTGAAAGAAATGAGTTTGGAAATGGATATGAGGTGTTTAGAAATGGATTTTGGTTTGGATTGAAAACAATGAAATAACAAAATGGATAAAAAAAAGATAACGAGAATTGATATGGGTAATAACGTGCCTCCAAACTTAAACAACACCTGAAACCTTGACAAATGCATTTGACTGTCACAATTCTTGAATTAAACCAAAGAGAATCACCTTGAATCAATCCTTAAATCCATATCGAAATGATTTAAACTTTAATGATTCTGCAATTTGACTTCACCAGATAACTTAAACCTGACATTGAAACCCTGATTTGATGATCTTCAGATGTACATCACTAATCTATGCTAAATCCAACTTGAGAATGAAACAATCTCCTTTTTCTTAACCAAGATCAAATCACATAAATAGAATTGAACCGTACTGTACACACATTTAACCTACTATCCTTGAATGAAACTCAACTGAACGACACTTGCTCATCTTAAATACAAAAGGTGAGAAACTCTAATCTTCGTGTCTTGAGTGCACACTGATGAAATAATGACTTGATTGAAAATCAAAACCCTAATTTGGAATCTTTGCCACAACCTGATAATCTGATACTGAAACAAACCACCCGATCCCTGATCCAGTCTTGCAAGACCTGAGCCTCAAAGGACTTGTGATGAGACTAAATTACATTGAATTATTGAGGAAGAGAGGTCTCTTGAGAGTATGAAGACTTAATTGGTGAATGACCTATCCTAAACCTTGATTTATCAACCCTTGAAACCTCTTGAAACAAACCCTAATTCACAAGTGGAGCAAAACAAAACAATGTATGATAATCTAGTTAGTTATGGAAGGATGATTGGTCTAAGATGCTATGCAAACGATCAGAGAATCTAAGGGTAAAATTTGGAGTATGACACATTGGTTAGCATGACATTTAAAAAAATGGGTTTAATTATAACATTGATCATCTATTTTTATTTTTATTTTAGATTTTATTCTCTCATTTTAAAATTCAATTTTTTGTTCCGTCAATTTAATGATGTGTCATTGTTATACATATTCAAGTTAATTACATTTTTTTATTGACATATAATTAATTTTTATTTTATTAATAATATAAATTATTATATTATTTAAAAATAAATTACATAACAAAAAATAAAAAATTTATAGTATAATGTTATTATAAATTTGTAACGATCTATTTTTTTTTTTTTAGAAAAGCTAATTTTTTATAAATTTGTCTGGTTTAATAATATTTATCAAATTAATAATTGTTTAATGAGAAACACACAAACCGGTGCCTAACTCAAATCCTATCTCTCCGAAACCCAAAACTCGTTTGCTCAATCTTCTCCAACTTCTCTCTTTCGTTCCATAACTCCAATGGCGTCAATCGTCTCTCTCTCAAACGTAATCGGATTCTCTGACACCCAAAACCACAACTCCCTTTTCTCATCTTCTCTCTGTAAGTCTATCTTTCTCTCTCACTCTCTCCACTCACAAAATAGGAACTTCAATTTTCGAGATTACAACGACAATCCAAGTAAAAAGTTGTATATTTGTATGGACTAAAACCATATTTAAACCTATTTGTTATATAGGTAAACTAAACTTCCGGTCAAATATAGTTGAAATCGATACATTTTCGCGGCACAAGGAGTATCGGAAAACTGGACATCACCATAGATATTTTCGATTATATGCACATTATGGAGGGAGGAAGGAAAATAATGAGAAAAGTGATGCTGCAACTTCTAAGGTTAGCTAACTTTGTTTTCTCTTGACTCAATCGTGTGAGTGTCAGACACCTATTAAGCTTAATTTATTTATTTTTTTAAATTATTACCGGTGTGACTGTGTCCGTGTCGGTGTCGTAATTGGGATGCGTGTGCTTCAGAGGTGTATAGTCGCCAGGGCAGTCTCGAACTTTCGAGAGACCTTGCATAAGAAGCATGAGTTAACTTGTGAATTTTTTTATTGAGTACTATTTAACTGTTAATTAATTGTGCCTTTTTGCCATAGCATAATTTTGAAAAATTGTGAGGCCATTTTGCACACCCTCAAAGACGGCTCTGATAGTCTATAGAACTACAAAAAAAATGTAGCCACGAGAGGGTAGAGGTGGTGTGATGCCTAGAGTGATTTTTGTGATGTATATGTTTGCATTCTTAATGTGAAAATGTTCTTCAACTCCTTGGTATATCTATATCTATTCATTATCCAGATTTGGTGAATTTCATTATCAATTCAAGTTTATTAATTGGTTAGTGTGGTTTTGTTTGTCATTAACTTTTAATGAAGTATGATTCACAGGTAAATCTGTCTGGAAACCAGCGACCTATACGGACAGAAATTACTGAGGGTGCTAAGCAATGGAGACGAGAAGTAAGTAAACAACTTAACTTATCCTGTGATACTGATTTTATATGCGGATAGTACATAGTATTTGGTTGAAAGGGATTTGGTGTTTAAAATATTACGCAAATGTTCACTATTCCGGGATACCATATACAAATTTTGGCATATTTATTTTGCTTGATTGAGGTGGGAAAGGAATGTGAAATTCGGTCAAGTGTCATTAGAGGAAGACTTATTTTAGAATAGAAAGAAGATAGATTGAAAGCAAAGTTCGGTTGTTGTGACTCCCTGTGTTTTATTTTGTTATTATATAGCAATTCTTTTGCGACTAAACTGCTTATAAGCACATCTAATATTAAAAACAAATTAAAATCATTTCCGCGAGAACTTTGTGGTATTATCTTGTTATTTTAGTGTATCTTCTCTGTGCCTTTAGAGTTTTGGCGTTGTGCCCATTTTAGAATTAGTCTTCTAGAACGGATACAATTCGGCTAGAACTAGATTCAACTCTTAAATTCCTATGTATATGACTGTTTTTTCCCTTTTCCTTCGTCTCATCTTTTTAAGCAGCACGGTGGCAGCAAGAATGGAAATGAAGTGCCTCAAAATGCTGATTTTCCTCGGCATTATTCAAGAAAGGAGAAGAAGCCTTTTCCAGTTCCCATTATAGAACTGCGACGGGCAGCTAGGGAGAGGATAAAGAAGATGAAAGATGAGCCAAGGAGAAATCTATTGCCGGCACCAAAGAATGGATTGCTAGTAAAGAACCTAATACCAGAAGCACATGATGTGTATAATGCTAGGATCACTTTGATTAATAATATAAAGAAGCTGCTCAAAGTAGTACCCGTGCATGCTTGTGGGTAATTATATTATACTATTGACAAATTACACAAAATTTCATGTTTTTTATTTTGATTTACTGTAGTAATACAGATCACAGTTGTTTCTGGCTTCTCAAAATATTCCAGATGCTTAATTTCATTTAACTCTAGTACATTATTTTTACTGAATAAACGTAGTTTAATGTTTTGTGCTCAAAAAATGTGCTTTGATGTTCTTACTCATGTTGAAAAAATTATGCAGGTGGTGCAGTGAAATCCATGTAGGCCCTGTTGGACATCCGTTCAAGTCATGTAAAGGTTCACAAGCGAACCTCCGCAACGGCCTTCATGAATGGACAAATGCACATGTTGAAGACATATTAATACCGATTGAAGCCTATCACCTCTATGACCGCCTTGGAAAGCGGATTACTCATGAAGAGAGATTCTCCATCCCTCGGATTCCAGCAGTGGTTGAGCTCTGCATTCAAGCTGGCGTTGAGATTCCAGAGTTTCCCACAAAAAGGAGAAGAAAGCCAATAATCCGTATTGGGAAGAAAGAATTTGTGGATGCTGACGAAAGTGAACTACCAGATAGAGTCGCAGATAAACCTATTAAACCGTTACTAGCTGAAATACCGGATTCAGAAATAGTTGCTCCAGTGAACAAGGAGGAAGTAGTTCACCTTGCCGAGGAAACACTCCAAGCATGGGAACAAATGAGGAGAGGTGCCAAGAGACTAATGAGAATGTACCGTGTGAGGGTCTGTGGATATTGCCCTGAAATTCATGTTGGTCCCAACGGAACCAAAGCTCAAAACTGTGGAGCACACAAACACCAGCAACGCAATGGGCAGCATGGTTGGCAATCTGCAGTGCTCAATGACTTAATACCGCCGAGATTTGTGTGGCATGTTCCTGATGTAAACGGTCCACCGCTGGAACGAGAGCTTAGGAATTTCTACGGACAGGCGCCAGCTGTAGTCGAAATGTGCATTCAGGCTGGTGCTGAGTTACCAGAACAATATAAATCAACCATGCGCCTTGACGTTGGGATCCCTTCAACTCTTCAAGAAGCTGAAATGGTAGTTTGAGATTTAAAGTATAAATTGCATGTTGTATGTAGAAGGTCAAAAGAATAGCATTATGTGGTTAGTTCTGGCTGGGGTATGTTTCCAGTTAAACTGTTAGCATATTGCAGAAGATCTACAAAATTGGTGTTGTAAAAGAATGGCATGGTTCTGATCTAATAGGAAAGGTAAATCTTCTAACATTCTATGGGGCTTTTCTTAAATAAAAACCTCATTAGGGAAAAGATAAATAGTGCCAGAGTATAGAGACTTAATTTTCTCGTTCAATTCGATTTAACATTTATACAATTTTGTTATTGAGATTGAGTCATTCTTTTCACCAATGACTCAATAGTTCGACCAATAACTTTTTGAACCTACGACCTTGTCAAGTTAATGGCATGTATGATTTTAAAATATTGATACAGTGTATAAATTCGTCCTATACTCTTATTATTCATTAATGAAAACTCATTGCAATAGATTGTGAATTGCTTTTAATTAATAGATTACTGATTGCTTAAAACTATTTTTTTTTTCTGTTTATGGTGAAACCGAAATAGTAACTTACAATTTCTTCAAACGGTCTACCACCATTGTTGTCCAATATTGATCCAATTAATAGCATTTACATATTTTATGTTGTCGTGGTTCCAACTTTCCTGTTGAAGGAGATGTGCCACTTTCTAGGCAGTGATTAAGGGTCATTAGCTTCATGTTTAAAGACAAATAACCTTTAAACATTTACTTTTAAAGAGCATAACCTAAAGAATTATTGTCTTAAAAGTTGTTTTAATTCTATATAAATTTATATTTTATTTTTTCAATATATATTCTTTAAAATAAATACCTTACAACACATACTTTAAATAGTTCTTTAAGTTAAAAAGTTGTATAGAATCTTTGAATTTGTTAGTAATTTATAATTTGGTCTTTAAATTTGTTTCTTTGATTAAGTTCTTAAAATTTAAATAATATGAAATAAAGTGCATCAAGTTAAGGGTGCATATACAAATTATTTAAAAATTTAAGGACATAATTAAAATTATTTAAAAGTTTAGAGACTAAATTAAAGAAAATTTTGTTCAAGAAAATAATTTAAGTGCCTACATAATTAAAATAGTCTATATGTCTTATAAAATTCAAAATAAATGCTGAATATTGCAACTAATTAAGAGACGGCAATTCAAATAAAATATTGACATAGCATAAAACAAAAAAGTATCCAAAAAGCATAATTCATAAAATGTCGGTTTCAAACAAGAGAATCAAATCATAATTCTCAATTTATTTTTCTTCTTCTCTTTCTATTTATAGCTCACTTTGCAAACATTACACACTTATTATTTATCCTATTGAATAGATGCTTGATTACTAACATGGGAAATTGCCTTAAAAAAAACCAAGTATCATCAAAACAAGATGAGAATGAAGACATCAAGAGAGCTATGAATATGAAGACACCAAAAAGAGAAGAAGATAGCTTGAAGAAGAAGGTAAGGTTTAAAATTCAAGATGGTGATTCTTCTACTATGAGGATTAAGCTTGTAGTTGGCAAGGAAGAATTGAAAAGGGTGTTGAGGAATAAGAATATTGAGAATGGTGTTAAGAATAGTTCTTTGGAGGAGTTGCTAAATGATATGAAGTTGAAAGAAAAAAGTGTGGCTAAATTTGAAGAAGTTGATGGAGGGTTAAGTTGTTGGAGGCCAGATTTAGATAGCATTCCAGAGGATTACTCCATGAAGTAGGTTTTTTTATTTTTTTTATTTTATGTATTTGTTATTATCATAAGCAATCCTATTGTAAATGAAAACAATGTTTTTCTTTTATTTGATAGTGTATTGAATTCTATATGAAATAAGTAGGTTCCACTTGATATTTTTTTTAATACTTTTTTAGTTTAGAATTGAGGTTTATTTTGATTCTTTATCTTTAAAATTTTTTATATTAGTTTTTTAATTCTTTAAAATGTTTTATATTAGTTATTTTTATTTAATTAGCGACAAATTTAACTACTATTTTTTTGAATTTTTCTATCGTATTAGAAAAAAAAACTAATATATAACGTTTTGATGAGTTACAGAATTAATATAAATTATTTTTAAGTTAAAAGAGCAAAATAAATCCCAAAATTAAAATACAAAATCAAAAAAATATTAAATTTTTTTTATGGAAATCAAAGCGTAATAATCACTGTAAATTTATTCAGACAATCATTACAAACTCATATACACAAATGAATTAGGGTTTAAATTCTGGTGGTGATGACATCCAATTTATCAATTTATGTCCATTGAATTAGAATTTATGAAAAATTATAGTAAAAATGTAAAATTAAATTAAGCTTGTGGTTGTATGATATAGTTGTATGATATGATGTCCATATATGAAATGGAGAGAGTTGACGACATAATGGGTGTGTTGACCTCCACATAAATGTTCTTGCTACAATGATATTTTATTAAGTAGAAAAAAAATAATGTCAACTAACTAAAACTATATTTGGTAAATATTATATTTTTGGCAGATGAGATTATAGATGATAATTTTTAAATTGACTAATAGCCGATAGCAAAAAATTAGTAAATTGAGATTATAGATGATAATTTTTGGCAGTTGAACTAATATATATATTTATAAAATGACATGAAATTATATATTTAATTAATATTAAAAAATATTTAAGATAAGAGGATAGAATTAAGAGAGAAAAATGAAAAGAAAAAAAAAGAAAAGAATTTTAAGATTTAAATTTTAAACTACTTATTTTAACTTATTAAAAAAGTTATAAGTGAGTGAAAATAAGTTACAATCTCATGAAATGTAACGAAACATAACTTTTATAAGGATATAAACTTACAATCTAAGAATTACAAATTAAATTCATAACAGGATTTGTTTGGGTTGGTTGTCAATTTTCTATTAAGAAAGATTTTTTGAAAAATCAAAACATGTTTGACAAAGATAAAGTTGATTTGATTTTTTATTTAACATCAAAACAATTTTCTATTCGGATTCAAATTAAAAATAATAATTTTATTCTTGTTTTAAAACTAAGACATCTTCACGGACGATTGTTAACCACTACTCTTATCATTATTATGATATATGACTAGCATTAATAAAACCATCGCCGACCACCACCAACCATCATTTTGACCACTATTCTGACCACCAATCACTACAATCAACTCCAACCGTTGGCAACCATCCTCGACCACCATATATAATCAGCTTCTTTACCATTGTATCCACTTATGATCTCTAAATTGAATACTGTGAACTACCACTTTGATCACCACCAACCACCATTTGACCACCACCAATGATTACATTGTCTACCACTACTTTGACCACCATTCTGACCACTGTCGATCATCAATTTGACTATCAGTCACCACTATCAATTACGAATTGAAGCATGTAGATGAACAACATAATAAAGTTGTTGAAGTTAGTTAAAAAGTTATAAATGGTTAAGTAACTATTAAATTCTGTTATAATTAATTTTGAAGGTTAGTTTAGTTAGTTACAGGCTAACTAAGTAACTATAGAATACAAGATCTTTACAATAGCTTAGATTGGAAGTAACAAAACGTATATTTGATCATTGTTATTAATCATCTTAATGAGAATTCTTTCAATATTGAGTTCAGTTTTAGTTTTTTAATATGGTATTAAGAAAACCAACGAACTTCATCATCTTCTCATTCTCCATTGTTCATTCATATCTTGTTCTTGATCTACAACTCCATCTGCAGTAGTTTTCTTTGATTTTCTTGTACTATTTTTTTTTTTTTTAATTTTTGCAACCTTTGATTCATTTTCCTCATCGGTCCATTATTCTTTCGCGCATAGCACAAAAAAATTACAAATAGACTCTGAACCCGTATATTATCTTCATCCTTGTGAAGGTCCAAATACAATCAATGTTAATTTGAAGTTGGATGACTCAAATTACTTAGCTTGGAGTAAATCTATGAAGCGTGCTTTGGGATCCAAGAACAAACTGAAATTCATCAATGGATCCATCCAAACTCCTGCAACTAATGAATTAAATCATACACAATGGGAATGATGTAACCATGTCATACATTCGTGGATACTCAACTATGTTTATGATCAAATTGCCCCCAACTATTATTTTTCTTGAAAATGAATTATATGTTTGGAATGATCTATATGAATGTTTTTCAAAAGTCGATCCTGCCCAAAATTTAACCCATTGTTCCTCCATCAACAACCTCAATCCAAATTCAAGATCAGTCATGAAATAAGTTCTTTGATTGAAAGGTTTATGGGAAGAATTTGTCCATTGCCTATGTGTACTTGCATTCACAGATGTAGATGTGTTTATCTACAACTTGCTCAAGGTTATTGACTTGAAGATCAAGCCATTCATTTTTTGACACATGTTATGTGGTTAAAACTTGAGTATTACTTATGGATCATTTACCATCTATTAATCGAATTTTCTCGCTTGTGATTCAAGAAGAAAGTAACCATATAAATTTACTGCAAATTGAAGATCATTATGTTTTTTTTATCAATGTTACACAAAGACCTGGTTTCAAAAACAAAGACAATTTCAACAATTTCAAGAATTCAAATCGAGTATGTATTTTTTGTCATAGAAGTGATCACACCATTTATTTTTGTTATCAAAATCATGGACATCCTAATTTCAACAAACACAAGGCTTCTGTGAACATGGGTTAGCTAGATAATAATGAATTACCTTAACCAGTTTATGAAACTCATGTAGCTTCTTCTACAAGTAATAATGCTCCTATTTCTCAAGCTCAATATAAGTAACTTGTAAACTTGATTCAACAAGCGAATTTGGCACCTCAGTTCAAGCCACAACCATAAATCATATTTCAACAAGTCATTCACTTATGGAATCCTCATCAGGTATCATATATAATAACATTTCTAAACCTACTAATCAAACATGCTCATGGATCTTGAATCATGGAGCCAATGATCATGTTTGTTCATCATTATCAATATCCATTTCATAGTATAAAATCAAACTTGTTAGAATTAGTCTTCTTAATGGTAATTGTGTCATTGTCAACTATGTTGGTAACATCATATTTCCACCCATCCTTTAACTCCCTCATGTTTTATTTTCACCAGATTTTCATTTAATTCTAATTTTCATTTAAATATTGTGTGAAACATTAAAATGTTTTACTGCATTTTCGGTTGGTAATTGTATTTTCGGTTGGTAATTGAATACCAAGAGGGTGATTGGTTTGGATTGTCAAAAAGAAAGCTTATATAGACTGCAAATAGATGGATCACACATTGTAGTCTAAGTTACCTCACAAAACCTAGTTGACCAAGTCAACCCTCTAACAAAACCCTGTTGTCCAAGCCAACACATATAATATTACCAGTTTTGATCTCAAGTTTAGTATAAATAATTTTGTAATACTTAAGACAATCATTTGGCATTTTAGACTAGGTCATGTATATCACAAGAGAATCAAATAAATTTCTCAAATGTTATTAATCTTATATCTTTGATAATAATACCACATGTGACAAATGTCATTTAGCCGAACAAAGAAAATTATCATACAATGCAAGTCATTCTATTGCTTCAAATAGATTTGAATTATTTCATTTTGATATTTTGGGGCCTTTAGTGCATAATCACAAACACTAATTAACTATTCTAGATAATCGTACAAGATTTGTATGGATTGTTTTACTCAAAAGTAAGCTCGGGATCTTCCAAAATGTCCAAAACTTCTTAACCATAATCATTAATCAATTTAGAATAACATCTAAGAGTGTAAGGTCAGATAATGGACCTGAGTTCATGTTAAACCAGTTTTATGCATCAAAAGGTATAGTTCACCAAAAGTCTTGTGTTGAAACTCCCCAACAAAATTTGAGAGTTGAAACAAAACACCAACATTTGTTAAATTTTGGAATAACACTTTTGTATCAGTCAAATTTCCCAAACCATATTGGCCATATATATGCCATCAAATTTGCCACATTCATAATCAACATAGTCTTATTTCCATTTTACGACAAAAATCACCTTATCAAACCATGCATGACAAAATACATTATATGGACAATTAAGATTTTGGGCTTATTGTGTTATGTATCCACCATTCAAGCTTGTAGAATAAAAATTGATCTCATAGCAACAAAAAAAAAGTATTCTTAGGATACACACATGGAATGAAAGGAAATGTCCTCCTTGACATTAACACTAAAGAAATATTTGTTTCAAGAAATTTATCTTTTCATAAACACATCCTTAAAAGTTCACACTTCAATCACCTTCCATGTCATGGATTTATTTTCCATCCACGCGAGAAACAATAAACACATACATCATACAAACCAACACAGATACATTTAACATACATACTGACCACAAACCACACCCTTAAAATCCAAATGATGACCAAACCACCACAAGTCATGACACCAATACCTCTCATAAGATTAATCCCCAAAATAGAACTTTTTCAAGGGTGAGACATCATCCATCATATTTGCAAGAATATATCTAAAATTCTATTGCTACAACAAATCAACCATCCAAAGGTAGTCTTTATCCTATGTCTCAATTCATCTCATACAATAAATTGTATTATATTCATTCACATTATTCTTTGTCTCTAGTCTTTCATACAGAACTTAAAATCTATATTGAAGCCTCAAAAAATGAATTTTTGAAGCAAGTTATGCAACTTGAACTTAATGCTCTTTAGAA